CATATCTATATTTTACAAAGTATATTCAAAGTTATAATGTCTATCACCTAATTCCTTTTCATCTTCTTCAATACTCTTAAGATCAGAAGTTTTGCTAATTTTTTCCCTTTTTTTCAACTCATTAAGTCGGCCTAACATTACATACTGGATTGCGCTCAAACAAGCGGCTGCTAATGTGGTACTTAATGCAATACTATGACCAAGCACGTAATTAGGATAATCTACAGAACGATATATTTGACCGGCAATTATACCTCCACAATTACCACAACTTATCATCATTGCAACACCTATGTTACACTTTAGTGGTGGTGACAGGTTGTTTGACAGCCTTTGAAATAGTATAAATTATGGGTAGAAAAATTTTAGTACTTATATATGAAATTGAATTATTTAAATTCATATTTACCATATAATAGCAATAGCACTACATGGTGCTATACCTATTGATATAATACAAGTTGCTATATATTTCACTATATAAACGAATAATAGAAAAAATGTGAATAAAAATAATAATGATAATAACAACACTAATATACAAGAATATACAAAAATTTGAAATATTAACCAATCATAGCCTTCATATTTGCAGAATACAACATAATTATGTATCCCAAGACTCCAATTGAGGCAAATAACATTAAAAAAGGACCACGAAGATTCGTACTATCAGATAAAGCTGGTACTACTAATTGTGAGATAAAGCCAAACAAAAATGGAGGTGCCACCAATATTTGAGATATAACTTTAAAGTGTAATATGTAATAATAAAAATTGTAATAGAGATTAGAAAATTATGTAAGATTTCATGCTTTATTTTTTTTTTCATGCTTGCCTTTATTAAAACCAATTCCATGGACGATTGAAGGAACAAAATATACAAATGAATAAATTGTGATATAAACTCCTAATAAAATGAGCATCGATAGGTACACTTTCTAAATGAAAAAATTAACTATAATAAAAAAAAATTGATGACAAAATCATTTTAAATAACATCAAATAAAATAATCTATCATACCCAATCCTTCAAACACTCTAGTACATAAACCTTATCAAATGTGTGTTCTCGAGCTTTTTTATGATACTCATCATCACCATCATCATGTTTTAACCTTAAAACTGCCAATAACCGCTCTTCTTGGGTAAGCCACTTGGCATCTTCTGGATAATCAGTGATATAAAAATATGCAATAATAGCAACTATAATGGAAACTAAACCATCAATTATAAAAATCTGTTACATAAACCAGAATGAATAACATCATCACATTAGACAAAATAAATATTAACAATGCAAACATTATAATTGCTTTTGATACTGTATAAGAAATCAGCATACCAATTGCCATGCTTTTAAAGGTGAATTTTCATCCGTAAGACTTGCAATTGTATAAGCGAATAATCCACTAAAAGCACCACCAAGTGATATTGAGGATATAATTATTCCCATTCTAAAACCTTGTTCATATCTTTTATACCATATAGTAATATAATAAACTATTCCAGGAAGCAGACCTGCTTCGAAAACTCCCAAGAGAGCACGTGTGAACATAAGTTCTGTATATGATTTTACCTTTCATTTGAAAAATATATATATATGAGATTAATTTGCGTTATTTGGAATTAAATAATAAAGTTTCTAATTTCACTACTTACAAAAGCCATAAATGACACTGTTATTCCCCAAGAAATCATAATTGTTGGGACTATAAAAAAGATCAATAACTTGTGTGAAAATAAAAACGACACAACCTTCTTTAAAAAAT